CTTAAAATCTGAACGTAAATGACCCTGGTCAAAATAATGTTCTAGTGTGAAGAGGTGAGATCTCAGCCTCTTTTCTTCCACCTCTTTTCTCACCTCATGAATTTTCATGACTGTCTTCATCGCGAAACTTTGAAGCGTAAATGTTTTTGTCATGGATTTCTTCGTAAATGTTTTGTCATGACTTCTTCGTGATGAACGTAAATGACCCAAAAATATGTTTAGGTGAAGGAGGTGAGATCTCAACCTCAGTTTCTCCCTCATGTTAGAATTCATTGCACGCTCCACTCATGCACGTATTGTTGGGTTCATGATCCTCCGGTAATAATGGTTCCAAACCATCACGGTAATATTGTCCTGAACTTCTCGATTCTGGTGTCCACAGGAAAACTCTTCTAAAAAATATGCGTCAACATAGACGATTCTTGTCGGACTTCACTGACGGAAGGTGAAACTTCCTTCGTGCCACCAAAATCGGGTATAATTTGGTTCAACCTGACGTTAAAAAATTGTCGGGAAACCTTCATCATCTGTTCAATAACTATGAACGTATATGTGGCGATACCCACTTGAACGAAGGCAAATCTCACTCGTGGTCAAACTCACGTATTAGCGTCAAACATGACGTAATGTGGGTCGAACTCACTGACGAAGTCAATCTTCACTTCGTGGGCAAAAACGCATCGTATATGTGTCAACAGAACGTAAGGTCGAACCTTTCCGTGGGTGACGAAGTTGCAAATCTCACTCGTTGTCAACTTGCATCGAAGGCTCAAACATGAACGAATGTTTGTCAAAACATTGAACGTAAATGTTGGTCGAAACCTTGTCAACTGGACGAAGTTTGCAAATCTCACTCGTGTCAAGACTGGTCTCGAAATTGAGCAAGACGTCATCGGAAAATGGCATGGACGCTGCGTAAAGGATGTTAAGATCATTCGAAATGTGTACCATCGAAGCTTGTCAAACATGTAACGATTTTGTGTCGAACTTTCACTGGTGTGGAAGAGTTTGCAAATTTGCACGTGGCCAAACTTAGCGTAAAGCTGGCAGAACACACGTAAATTGGCGTTTAACTCATCGTATTACGCAACATAACGTAAATGATTTGTCGAAACTGTATTGCGTATTTAAGGCTGTGTCATGACTGTCAGAATGTCATGACTCGTATTAGGGCATGAGTCTCGTAATGAACGGAATGACCCAAAATAAGAGTGAAGGGGAGCCCTGCCACCTTCAGTTTCATACTCTTCATCGTAAGACGTAATAATGGGCATTGATCTGTCAAGTAGTGTCAAACCGAAGCGTATAGGTTTCAGACTCTCGAAATTGTGCAAATGCATTCTCGGGTAAACTGCAAACAGAACGTAATGTGTGTCGAAACGTCACCTGGGGACGAAGTTGGCAAATCTTCACTTGTTGGTCAAAACCATTCGTATTAGCTTTTGTGACCTCGAGCAGGTGGATTGTCAAGACGGCGGCGAAGAGGGGGGCAGAAGCAGCGAAGAGTGGGCAGGACGCAGCGAGGCAACGACGGCGGAAGGGCAGAGGAGGAAGAGAGGGGGCCGATAGACAGGCGAAGAACTGGAGAGAGTCAAGATCAACACAGGGCGAGGCCATGCGAGAGGGGAGTGGGAAAAAGAACTCAAGAATAAGAATGAAACGGTCAGGAGAGTAAAGCAGACAAAAGAAAAAGAAGAAAGAGAATGCCGCTAGACGTCGAAAACCCGAGAGAAGAGCTCGGATAAAATCGCAAGGCCGATGGAAATGCGAAGGAAGGAATTGACCCAATAAGGGGGAGGAGTAGACCCGCGGCTGCACCGCGAATGCAGGAGCCTGCGTAAGGGTGGAGTGGGCGAGTAAAAGACAAAGTTAGGGAAGAAGAGACAGGACGCGTAGCAGAGGCAGAAGAGAAGGCACGAGAGGAAGTCGTAGGAAGACACAAAAGTACGAACGGACGGGGCAAGGAAGGAGGAGCGGAACGTAAGAGGGGGCGGGGAGTGGCAGGAGACGAATGGGGGTCACAGGAACGATGGTATGACCTGCAGGAGGGCGACCGGAGGTGCCAGACGAGGGGTAGGACGGCGGAGGTAGAGCGATATGGGCCAACACGGATAGGCAAGATGTACGGCCGAAATGCGGTAATGCAAGGCTTCGTAGGGGTCATGTGAGCATGAAAGTGGGCAGGAGGGCGAAGGATGAGACGCGGTAATAGGCAACCCATTTGAAGGTTTAAAATTTTATTTGTTTAATGAATTATTTTATTAGTATTGAAAACGTAAATTGATTTTTGTACAATTGATTTTTTAAGTTTAGTGTTTTGGCATGCTTTCTTCATCGTAAATGTTTTGGTTACAAAATGAAGTACATGTTTTGTCATGACTTCTATCATCGTAATGAAGCGTAAATGATGCATGATTTTCTTCGTTTATGTTTTGTCATGATATTCTTCATCGATAGATGTTTGTCAAACATGAACGTAACAGGTGTTTTTGTCCATGACTGCTCTTGACATTCGTAATGAACGTAATGATTTGTCATGATTTCTCGTTTAATGTTGTCATGATTTCTTCATCGTAAACTGTTTGTCAACATGAACGTACATGTTTTGTCATGATTTCTTCTATCGTATGAACCGTATAATGATTTGGTTCATGAATTTTCTTCGTTTACTGTTTTGTCATGATTTCTTCATCGTAAAGTTTTGTCAAACATGGAACGAACATTGTTTCTGTCATGACTTCTTCATCGTAAATGTTTTTGTCATGATTTCGTTCGCTTTATGTTTTGTCATGATTTCTTCGTTTATGCTTTGTCATGACTTCTTTCGCTTTATGTTTTGCCATGACTTCTTCGTATTATGTTTTTTGATCAAACCAATTCATCGTATATGTTTTTGTCATGAATTTCAATCGTAACATTTTTGTCGAAACTTCTTCGTATATGTTTGTTATGACTTCATCGTAAATGTTTTTGTCACTGATTTTTCGTAATGTTTTGTCATAATTCTTATTCGTAAATGTTGTTGTCATGATTCTTCATCGTAAATGGTTTTGTAGAACGATGAACAGGTAATAGTTCTTGGTCATGACTTGTCTTCATCGTATGAACGGTAAATGATTTGTCAAAATGAAATTTCTTCGTTTATGTTTTGTTTCATGAATTTCTTCATCGTAAATGTTTATGTCAAACATGAACGACATGTTTGTGCATGACTTCATTCATCGTATGCAATGTCGTATAATGATTTATCATGCTTCTTCGTTTATGTTTTTTGTCAACGATTCTTCATCGGTAAATGTTTTGTCAAACGAAATATTTTTAGCAATGATTCTTCTGTAAAGTAAATGAATTGTCATGATTTCTGTTCGTTTATTGCTTTGTCAGATTTTTCATCGAATGGTTTGTCAAACATGAACGTAACTGTTTGTCATGATTTTTTCACGAAAAGACGTAAATGATTTGTGCAGGATCTATTCATCGTTATTTGTCATGAATTTCTTAGGAAATTTTTTGTCAACGATGAACGTTAATGTGCAATGACTTGATCGTATGTTTGTAGATTTTCGTTTATTTTGTCATAATTCTTCTTTTTGTCATGACTTTCTTCGTTTATGTTTTCATGACTTCTTCGAATATTTTTTCAAATCATCGTAATTTTAATGATTCAACGTAATTTTTGGTCGAACTCGTATATTTTTGTATGACTTATCGTAAATTTTTGTATGATTTTCTTCGAGAATTTGTCATGAATTCTCGTAAATGTTTTGTATACTTCATCGTATTGCTTTGTCACAAACGTGAAATGATTTAGGTAACTCCTTCATGTATATGCTGTCATGACTTCATGTAAATGTTGTCATGATTTGTGTCGTATAGTTTTGCATGATTTCCTTCGTAATGGAAGAAATGACCCAATAATGTTAGTTGAAGGTGAGATCTCACTCTTTTCTCATTCAATTTATCATGACTTTCTTCAATCCGTATATGAGCGTAAATGTTTTGTCATGATTTCTTTCTTCGTATTATGCTTTTGTTCAACATCCGAGCGGATAATGTTTTGTCTGCTTTTCGAATATGTTTGTAGACTTCTTCGTATATGCTTTTCAAACATGAGACGTATATGTTTTTGGTTCGAACTCATTTTTTGACGACAGTGCAAATTTCACTTCGTGAAAATTCCCTCGTAGATCTTTGTCAAACTCTCTCGTAATGATTTTGTCAAGACTTCTTCGTAAATCGTTTTGTCATGAATCATCGTGTAATGTTTTCAAGTCTGTTTGCTTTGTTCAAACTTTTGATATGCTTGTCAGAAATTATGAAGGAGGCTGAAGATGTTATACCATCAAGACTATGAGAGTAAAGCAACACGATCTGGAGACCATTAGAAGAGCGGAGTACATGGAGAAACTAAATACAAGAAAGATAAAGAAAATTCTTCTAACTTTTCATTAGATGTAAACTAACAAAAGAACTTTTTAGAAGAAATTCCTCATATATTGCTTCCTCGAAAACCCCGAGAGAAGAGATTCGAATGCAAATCCAAGTTCCTTGTAAGAACTTTCGTAATGAACTGTAATGACATCAAAAATAAATTTAGGTGAACGAGTGAGATCTCACCTGTCTCACCATGAATTTTATGATGTTTCGAATTTTTCTACTTCTTGTAATACGTAAATGAAAAAATATGTATTCAGTAAGAGTGAATCTCACTCTTTCTCACT